AATGATGGGGCACTATTCCTCCCACTGACACCAATGATGGGGCACTATTCCTCCCACTGACACCAATGATGATGGGGCACTATTCCTCCCACTGACACCAATGATGGGGGCACTATTCCTCCCACTGACACCAATGATGGGGCACTATTCCTCCCACTGATACCAATGATGGGGCACTATTCCTCCCACTAATACCAATGATGGGGCACTATTCCCCCCACTGATACCAATGATGGGGCACTATTCCTCCCACTGACACCAATGATGGGACACTATTCCTCCCACTGATACCAATGATGGGGCACTATTCTTTCCACTGATACCAATGATGGGGCACTATTCCTCCCACTGATACCAATGATGGGGCACTATTCCTTCAACTGATACCAATGATGGGACACTATTCCTCCCACTGACACCAATGATGGGGCACTATTCCTCCCACTGATACCAATGATGGGGCACTATTCCTCCCACTGATACCAATGATGGGGCACTATTCCACCCATTGACACCAGTGATGGGGCACTATTCCTCCCACTGATACCAATGATGGGGCACTATTCCTCCCACTGATACCAATGATGGGGCACGATTCCTCCCACTGACACCAATGATGGGGCACTATTCCTCCCACTGACACCAATGATGGGGCACTATTCCTCCCACTGATACCAATGATGGGGCACTATTCCTCCCACTTATACCAATGATGGGGCACTATTCCTCCCACAAATTCCAATGATGGGTTATTGTCTACTCCCACTGACACCAGGACATTTTCTACTTCCTCTGGCCAGAGTCCGGCCCCCTCTAAAGTTTGAAGGACAGTAAACTGGCCCTTTGTTTAGAAAGTTTGACGACCCCTGACCTATAACAACAAAAAAAGTTTGTTATGGTACAACTCCACCTTTTATCACTAAAAAATCATCCTGGAGCTCCAGTGCAGTGACTTTGCCTAGGCTGAGATGACCTCCTAGATTGTAAGCTCCCAGGATCAGGGCCCTCCTATCCCTCTTGTATTGAAATGTATTGTTGCTGTATTGTCTCCCGTTATATTGTAAAGCGCTGAGCAAACTGTTGGCGATATAAATCCTGTATAATAATAATAATAATGTCATCAGTCTGCTGCAGGCAGGAGGAAACATTTCCTTAGTCTCTGCCCCCAGTGATCAGACTGTACATCATAACTTTGCAGCAAGCCATAAGGTAAGAAGCTGCAGCAGGGGCTGATCTGTGTCAGACATTTGTGAACAGGCACCAGAGTAAGTCATTTCAGTCCAGGAGAGGAGCCGGTACAAATGTTGCAGACTGAAGAGGAGTCTTGAAGATAAAACTCTTGATGAAGATGATACATTTGATGATAGGGAGCTTTCTGAGCAATCAAATGTCTCCCATATTGGAAGCAGAGTGACACCCACACCTGCAAAGTTCACACGTCAGACTCATTTATGGCGAGCCAGCTGGCTCCTTCGCTCCAGGGCCAATATTCTTCTATAAGGAAGATTTCCAATGACAGAGGAGACGGGTCACATGAGCGAGCGGTAATTGGCACTCTATGTACAGTGAGCAGGAACTCTGCCAGTCTTGGAAAGTGCCGGGGCCCGGCCAAGAAAAAAAAAAAAGAGCTTGGCACAGAAATGATTAAAGCAGAACTCCGGCCAAATGTAAAGATTAAATAAACATATGTGAACGGATTTGAGTCTGTCTGCAGCCGTGAACATATGGCGACGTTTGGGGGCGGCTGGCGTCTTAGGAGCAAGATGCAGATTACCGATCATCCGTGACTCACCCCCATACACAGCCTAACCAGACGGGTGACACCGCCACTTCCTTTTTGCTTCCTGTGTCACCCGCCTGCTCATGAAACTGCATTGTCATACTGCTGAGCTCCTACTTGTACTCTCCCCTGCAGCTCCATAAGAAGCCTGAACACCAACCCTCCAGCACCCAGGGCCTGAAATATGTGAGATTGATAGCAGTGAGGGGAGCAATAAAACTTGGCGCATGGCTGTCTGTCTGAGAAGATAACAGGAAGACAGGTTTTACCGTAGCTTCACACTAATGCAGGCCATAGACGGGTCAAAAACCGGCTGTTTTTTTTATTAAAAAAACCAAAAAAATTGGTCGTTCGATCGGCCAACGTTACCACCAACGGTCAAAAAAAATCGGCCAATTTGCGTCCCGTCTACGGCCGGCATTTTTACTTCTGTCCCTGCAGAGAGCTCTGCTATTATATTTGACATGAAAAGTCTTGCAGTTGCAACAATGTATCTATTTGTATCCATTTCGGATACAGATGGTTTTATTTGGATACAAATGGATACATTGTTGCAACCGCAAGACTTTTCATGTCAAATATAATAGCGGACTGGAATTCTTCTTTTTTTTTTCTTCTTTTTCTTCTTCTTATTTTTCTTCTTATTTTTCTTTCTCTTGCAGGTCACGGCTCATGCACAGATTTTTTATTGGTAAAATGATCGGCCGATCGGCAAAATCAGCCGATTTTTTTCCAACTTTACCAATAAAAAAAAAGTGTTCCAAAACCCCGAAAAACGGCCGACCAATTAACCCACTAACGGTGCGAAAATCGGCCAATTTTTATTTTCGGCAGAAAAATCAGGCGATTTTCGACCCGGCTATGGCCTGCATTAGCCTAGGTTCACATCTATGCGTTTTCTGTTGCGTTTGCAGAAATGCACAGCGGTCCCTATAGCATAATTTCCTATGTGAGAGGTTCACATCTCCATGCATTTTTTGGAAAGGGTCGGGGACTTTTTTAAAACGCAAAACATTTCATTTTTGGTTCAATAGACTTCAATGAAACGTTGCGTTTCCTGTGCGAATCACATGCGATATACTGCGCCGCATATATGTGAAGCCAGGCTAAAGGTCATGCAAAGGGAAGTAACTTTCTGTCTTTACACGGCATACAGCTCTTAGTGTTCCATGTTTAATGCACAAGGAGTGAGCGGGGGAGGGGATCAGACTGCACCAAACATAAGCCGCAACCCGCAGCAGCCAAATACATTGATTGCAGGCAGGTCAGTGAGTTCCGGTTCACATTAATGCGATGCGTCATGCGATTTGACAGTTCAAAATCGTATGACAACTCACACCCCATTTTGCGGCAATGGAACCTTTCAAACCGTCGCGACTCAAGTCATAGCGACTTTGAAAAAAGGTTCCTGCACTGCTTTCAATGCGACTTGCATTCTGATAAATGAAGTTTCGAGGCGCAATGAAAATCGAACATCCAAATCACGCTGAGCGGGGGAGGGGATCAGACCATAGCTGCAACCTGCAGCAACCAAGTCAGTGAGTTCCGGTTCACATTAATGCGATGCGTCTTGCGATTTGAAAGTTCAAAATCGTATGACAACTCACACCCCATTTGCGGCAATGGAACCTTCAAACCGTCGCGACTCAAGTCACAGCGACTTTTAAAAAAAGGTTCCTGCACTGCTTTCAATGCGACTTGCATTCTGATAAATGAAGTTTCGAGGCGCAATGAAAATCGAACATCCATATCGTGCTGATCTGCGGCACAAGTAGAGAGCGGGGGAAGGGAACAGACTGCACCGAACATAAGCCGCAACTCGCAGCAGCCAAATACATTGATTGCAGGCAGGTCAGTGAGTTCTGGTTCACATTAATGCATCTTGCGATTTGACATTTCATAATCGGATGACAACTCACACCCCATTTTGCGGCAATGGAACCGTTCAAACCATTGCGACTCAAGTCACAGCGACTTTGAAAAAGTTCATTGCAACTTGCATTCTGATAAATGAAGTTTCAAGGTGCAATAAAAATCGAATGTCCAAATCGCGCTGATCTGCGGTTTTGAAATCGCGCTGAAGTAGCATCAGTTCAAAGCCACACTGGCGTGAACCAGGGCTGCAAGATGAGATCTGATTGGCTGGTCACTGTGTGCTGCAATCAGTACAATTGGCTCTGTATTATAATTATAATTGTCCTATAAAAAAAAAGATACAACAAATTTCGTTTGCATTTCCAGTATGGTGCAATAAATAATTAACACGTAAAAAAAAACCTATAGACACATTAATAATAAATAAACCTATGAAACGAAGCCGTCAGCATTCAGGAACGATTCAGGAGGACGAGGGGCACACAAAACTCTGCCTCACACTCCAAATGAAAGCAGCTTCACAGCATGGGAGATACCAATGGAAGACAAAACAAAAACATTCCTACAGACGAGCAGTGACCACTGTGACCACTTGAAAAAAAAAGGTTAACAAAAAAAAAATGGCGCTCCATCTCACATCAGAACTGTGTTTTTCTAACTCGGGGACATCGATAAAACTATTTTCGAAACTATTTAATAGGATTTTAGAACTTAACATTTTTTCTTTGTCCCTTTAAAGCTGAACTTTGGGCACAAATGTTTTCATTTAAATGTAATCCCACAAAAGCCACGTAATATATCATTTTACTTTGTGTGCACCAAATTCCTTTCCATACCCAGATATTATTTTGTGAAAGTAGCAGTGATGTCATCACTGTGCTATACATAGCCTGTGCAGAGAATGGAGCTGTGGGTGGGCACCAATATAAGGTAGGTATCCCTTAATGTGGGCATTATAGTTATTGCCAATACAGTACACAGTAATTAGGGATGAGCTTGAGTTCAGCTTGGGTTCAGGACATCAGTGCTTACCAATGTAAGGAGCATTCTTCCCACTGACCACCAATGTAAGGGACATTCTTCCCACTGACCACCAATGTAAGGGGCATTCTTCCCACTGACCACCAATGTAAGGGACATTCTTCCCACTGACCACCAATGTAAGGGGCATTCTTCCCATTGACCACCAATGTAAGCGACATTCTTCCCTCTGACACCAATGTAAATGGCATTCTTCCCACTGACCACCAATGTAATGGGCATTCTTCCCACTGACCACCAATGTAAGGGACATTCTTCCCACTGACCACCAATGTTAGGGACATTCTTCCCCACTGACCCCCAATGTAAGGGACATTCTTCCCACTGACCCCCAATGTAAGGTACATTCTTCTCACTGATCACCAATGTAAGGGGCATTCTACCCACTGACCCCCAATGTAAGGGGCATTCTTCCCACTGACCACCAATGTAAGGTACATTCTACCCACTGACCCCCAATGTAAGGGGCATTCTTCCCACTGACCCCCCAATGTAAGGGAAATTCTTCCCACTGACCCCCAATGTAAGGAACATTGTTCCCACTGACCAGCAATGTAATGGAAATTCTTCTCACTGATCACCAATCTAAGGGACATTCTTCCCACTTACCACCAATGTAAGGAGAAACCTTCTCACTGGACACCAATGTAAGAAGCATTCTTCCCACTGACCACCAATGAAAGGAGCATTTTTCTCACTGGCCACCAATGTAAGAAGCATTCTTCTCACTGACCACCAATGTAAGAGCATTCTTCCCACTGACCACCACCAATGTAAGGGGCATTCTTCCCACTGATCACCAATGTAAGGAGCATTCTTCTCACTGGCCACCCAATGTAAGGAGCATTCTTCCTGGGAAAGTTGGCATGTACAGAGGAGGAGACCTCAATAAAGATATCAGAGGAGCATACTTAGCAACATTATGGTCTCGGATCCCAGAACACTGTTAATGCCACCCACTGGACACATGCACGGTCACTCAAATAAGGTTGATGCTGTGATCCTAGGACACAGCATTGGCAGGACAGAAGGCCAAGATGTGGGAGTGTCCCGCCAAATCCAGGACAGTTGGCATGTTTGGAGGGTAGAGTCAGGGTGATTTACCTTCAAAAATTATTTCAACCACCTGGCATGAATGACTGTCAATGGGAACATAGAGTACCTTGTAGCAGGTTGTTAATTTAGTACACCGTTTGCAGTATAATACAACTAGTAGGGAGAGCATCTTCAGGGCCTGATGTATGTCATGGTCTCCTACTGAAGAGGACATTGGTCACCATGAGCCACCATTTGGAACTCTGGCAATTCAACAACTATGGTGGATGTTTTTCGTAGACCATTGGAAGGGTTGAATAGATAAATACATAATTATTCTGTTTTTTGGAATGTTTGGATGTGTACTAACAATATGTTGTTAAACAATCACATATACAGTAGATGGATACATTTTCGGTAAGGCCCAAGAAGAAATGCACCGCAGTACTTTGAGAGATGTATGACGTTCTTGTGGAACAAATAGCACCTTTAGCAACACAAGGGATGTCCTACCTCAGGGTTTAAACACCTACAGCAAACAGTATCACGTCACTTCCCCTAAAGGAGCCAGCGTTCCCAGCAAAACCAGTGGTGACAGTATCCCGAGGGCCTGGTATTTGTTATGATTGCCTACAGATGGATGAAATTGGTCACCATGTGCCTGTGGTTGGAACTCAACAACTATGGTGGATGCTTCTCTCAGACCACTGGAAGTGGGATCAGATAAACAGGTAATTATTCTGTTTATGCGATCACTGTATTGAAGCTTGAATATGTACCAGTAATAATACAATTACCAACAGTTGGCTAGTTTTGCTAAGACCAAAGAGAAAAACACATTTCAGTACTTTGAAAGATGCACGATGTTCTCCATGGAACAAATAGCATGTGTAACAACACAAGGGATGCGTATCATACTTCCCCTGAAGCAACCAGTGTGCCTGGCAAAACCAGTGGGGACGGCATCCCAAGGGCCTGACATTTGTTCTGATTGCCTACAGATGATGACCATGTGCCAGTGGTTGGATGGTCACCATGTGCCGGTGGTTGGATGGTCACCATGTGCCGGTGGTTGGAACTTTGGCTATTCAACAACTATGGTGGATGCTCTTCTTAGATCATTGGAAGTGGGATCAGATAAACACATAATTATTCTGTTTACGGGATCACTGTATGGAAGTTTTAACATGTACCAATAAAACAATTACAAATAGTTGGATACATTTTTGCTAAGACTCAAGATGAAATACACCACAGTATTTTGAGGGACACATAAGGTACTCCATGGAACGCATAGCACATAAAACAACACAGGGAATGTGATACGTACTTTACAACACATGCAGGATTTGAACACCTACAGGAAGTAGTGTCACGTCGCCTCCTCTGAGGCAGCTGGAATGCTCACCAAAATCAAAGGGGCCAGCACCCCGAGGGTCTGGCATGTGTTCTGCCTACAGATGATGACATTGGTCACTATGAGCTTGTGGTTGGAACTCCGGCTATTAAACAACTATGCAGGATTTCTCTATTATGGTGGATGCTTCTCTATTCGTGGAATGTTTTCTAACGGTGGATAATTCTCTTAGACCACTGTTAGTGGGATTGGATAAGTAAATACTTGATCTGTTTGTGGGATCATTGTATGGACGTTTGCACTTTTTACTGTTGAATTGCAGTTACAAGTTAGATGCTTGTGTGGGAACACATCAACGTTTTGGTGGATATTTGCCATACGTTGTTGCTATTTAACAACTATGGTGGATGCTTCTCTTACGGTGGCTGCTTCTCTTACGGTGGCTGCTTCTCTTACGGTGGATTCTTCTCTTACGGTGGATTCTTCTCTTACGGTGGATTCTTCTCTTACGGTGGATTCTTCTCTTACGGGGGATGCTTCTCTTACGGGGGATTCTTCTCTTACGGTGGATTCTTCTCTTACGGTGGATTTCTCTTACGGGGGATTCTTCTCTTACGGGGGATGCTTCTCTTACGGTGGATGCTTCTCTTACGGTGGATGCTTCTCTTACGGTGGATTCTTCTCTTGGGTGGATGCTTCTCTTGTGGTGGATTCTTCTCTTGTGGTGGATTCTTCTCTTGGGGGATTCTTCTCTTACGGGTGGATGCTTTCTCTTAGGGTGGATGCTTCTCTTGTGGTGGATTCTTCTCTTGTGGTGGATCTTAGGGTGGCTGCTTCTCTTACGGTGGATTCTTCTCTTACGGGGGATTCTTCTCTTACGGGGGATGCTTCTCTTAGGGTGGATGCTTCTCTTGTGGTGGATGCTTCTCTTACGGTGGATGCTTTCTCTTACGGGTGGATTCTTCTCTTACGGTGGATTCTTCTCTTATGGGGGATTCTTCTCTTAGGGTGGATTCTTCTCTTACGGTGGATGCTTCTCTTGTGGTGGATGCTTCTCTTGGGTGGATGCTTCTCTTACGGGTGGATTCTTCTCTTACGGTGGATTCTTCTCTTACGGTGGATTCTTCTCTTACGGGGGATTCTTCTCTTACGGTGGATTCTTCTCTTGTGGTGGATTCTTCTCTTACGGTGGCTGCTTCTCTTACGGTGGATTCTTCTCTTACGGTGGATTCTTCTCTTATGGGTGGATTCTTCTCTTGTGGGGGATGCTTCTCTCTTATGGTGGATGCTTCTCTTGTGGTGGATGCTTCTCTTGTGGTGGATGCTTCTCTTGTGGTGGATGCTTCTCTTGTGGTGGATTCTTCTCTTACGGTGGCTGCTTCTCTTACGGTGGATTCTTCTCTTACGGTGGATTCTTCTCTTATGGGGGATTCTTCTCTTGTGGTGGATGCTTCTCTTGTGGTGGATTCTTCTCTTACGGTGGATTCTTCTCTTACGGTGGATTCTTCTCTTACGGTGGATTCTTCTCTTAGGGTGGCTGCTTCTCTTAGGGTGGCTGCTTCTCTTAGGGTGGCTGCTTCTCTTAGGGTGGCTGCTTCTCTTACGGTGGATTCTTCTCTTACGGTGGATTCTTCTCTTACGGGGGATTCTTCTCTTACGGGGGATTCTTCTCTTGTGGTGGATTCTTCTCTTGTGGTGGATTCTTCTCTTGTGGTGGATTCTTCTCTTATGGTGGATTCTACTCTTATGAAGGATAATTCTTTTATGGTGGATTCTTCTCTTATGGAGGATGATTCTCCTATGGTGGAATTTTCTCTTAGGATGGATGCTTCTTCCACAGTGGGATCTTCTCTTATGGTGGATGCTTCTCTTAGAACTTTGGAAGTGGGACTGGACCATTGTATATATTTTTTTTTTGCACTCTGTACTGTTGAATTGCAGTAGCAAGTTTGATACTTGTGTGGAACACAATAATGTTTGGTGGACATTTGCCATATGTTGTTTACATACTGGTGGTGGTTTTATGAGATATCGCCAATTCTACTTGTGAGCCCCATATTCAACAACTATGGTGGATGCTTCTCCTATGGTAGATGCTTCTTTTATGCTGGATGCTTCTCTTATGGGAAATACGTCTCTTCCGGGGGGCGTCCGGGGAGAGCAGATATATAGTGAATGCAGGGTCCTCGGAGATCAGATATAGTGAATGCAGGGTCTGGGGAGACGAGATATAGTGAATGCAGGATCTGGGGAGACCAGATATAGTGAATGCAGGGTCCGGGGACAGCGGATATAGTGAATGTAGGGTCAGGAGAGAGCGGATATAGTGAATGTAGGGTCAGGGGAGAGCGGATATAGAGAATGCAGGGTCCGGGGAGAGCGGATATAGTGAATGCAGGGTCCGGGGAGAGCGGATATAGTGAATGCAGGGTCTGGGGAGACCAGATATAGTGAATGCAGGGTCTGGGGAGAGCAGATATAGTGAATGCAGGGTCTGGGGAGAGCGGATATAGTGAATGCAGGGTCCGGGGAGAGCGGATATAGTGAATGCAGGGTCTGGGGAGAGCGGATATAGTGAATGCAGGGTCCGGGGAGACCAGATATAGTGATTGCAGGGGCCAGGGAGAGCGGATATAGTGAATGCGGGGTCCGGGGAGAGAGCGGATATAGTGATTGCAGGGTCCAGGGAGAGCGGATATAGTGAATGCAGAGTTGTTATGTTATGTTATCTTTTAACAGACTCTTCATTTTATTCTTGTTATTATTTTTGACTGGGATTCTACTCAAATACTCAGCAGCCATCCACGTTCCATTTCCATCCTTTGATTTCGAGGATGTCACTGTGGGGTTGGGAGAGGGACTCTGCTCTGGGACAAATGAGCAGCTCATTTCTCATAAGTGGCTGCAAGGGATTTGTACTGCAGCAAAGGATGGGAACTGTCTGTCAGGAGGCTGCAGGACGCTTTATGTCAAACACGCAGCTTTGGGCAACAAAATGAATACAATTTCTTTTTTTTTACTAGGCTGCAAGACCATTTAAAGGATGTTCACTGTAATTGCATTTGACCCCTGTTGCCTGACTTCGAGGGTCCAAAAAAGCAATCTCTCTATAGAGACCCATAGGGAGGGATTTACTAAACCTGGTGCACTCAGAATCTGGTGTAGTTGTGCATGGCAGCCAATCAGCTTCTAACGCCAACTTGTTCAACGAAGCTTTGTCCTCATGCACAAAGGATGCTACAAAAACTCTCCTAGAAGCCTCCTTCCTGGCAGCAGCGTTTTTGAAAAAAAAAAACGCCTGACACTTGTAAAAGTATCTTAACGCATGTACACGTGTCAAGCATTTGGGCATTAATTCATTTAATTGGCCAGAATAATAATTTACTATTTATAATTATATTATAATTGACATGAATTAACACTCAAGCGCTGAATGCGCCTAGCGTCAACATGTGTTTAGGTGCGTTTACACACGTCAAGCATTTTTTTCTTCCATAACACTGCTGCTCCTGGACCTGGGGCTTTTTTCCTGCCTGTAAACGCTCCTGCCACAAAAAGCTCCTACGGGCCATTTCACACTGAGGAGTT